GCCAAGGCTTTCCAGAGGACAGTGACCAGGCCTTCGGTGGGGCATCAGTTAGGGAGCCCCGTTTCCTGTTCCTGAAGGCGTGGGCTGGACCTATGGAGGTGGCCTGTGTTTTTGCCTCTTTCATCCTCTGGGAACAGGAACCCCTTCAGATTTCTGCCCTTTCAGGAGGGGAGATGGGAGAAAGGACCAACAGCATTGGAAACCCAGCCTGCTTATTAAGAAGCGAGGGGCAGGTACACAGGGGCAGGGTGGCCAGGCGGGGAGCTAGCTTTCCTACGACAGTGTCAGCCGTCATGCTGGACCACTGTGCAATCCAGGTGGCACGGTAAATCCATTTCCCTGTCTTCATCTTTTTCAATGACAGCTCTCTAAGCAACCAGAAGAAAAAAGGAACTCAATTAAGTCCTCCTGTTAGAGCAGCTTCCTCAGAGGCTGCGACACTTATATTGGTGGCAGAAAGTTAGTGTTTGTATGGGAATGGCATTTTTACCAAAGAAGCCAAGTCGCCCATCTTGGTGGGATGGCCGCTGGGGAGAGAAAGGAAGAGGGACTGGGGCTCTATTTTAGGGGCTCCCGGAGCACCCCCTTGCCCTGACTCAGCGGTTCTCCTATCATGTCTGATCCAGAAAACAGTCTTGTCTGCCTCCAGACCCAGCGAGATTGCTTTCAGGGCTGGGCATGTTGCCGCCCTGCAGATGTGAGGTGTAACCAGCACAAGAACACCATCGCACGCACCGCGGGCTGGATGTAGGTTACAGAGCCAAACGTGACGTTCTTTTACCATTTCGAGAGAAATTTTGCAGATAGGAATGTGAGAGATTAATAGCCCTGGCAAAGAGCAGGAACTCCATATAGGAATGGAGTTTTTAATTCTCTGTAGCCAAGAAAGTATAACAAACAATAGAATGATGTCTAAAAAAAGTTTAAGCCAATAAAGAAAGAATGGGTGCTTGTTTTTTAGGATTTTTCAGGAAAAAAAATAAAACCTCAATGTTATATATATTAAGGTAGAATCAGAAATTACAGTTTTTTGATAAAGGCCATTCTCATTGGGATTAGGTAATGTCTCACTGTGGTTTCAATTTGCATTTCCCTAATGATTAGAGATGTTGAGCATTTTTTTATATGCTTGTTGGCCATTATTCTGTCTTCTTTTGAAAAGTTTCTGTTCATGTCCCTTGCTCATTTATTGATGGGGTTGCTTGATATTTTTCTTGTTGATTTTTTTGAGTTCTACATAGATTCTTGCTATCAGCCCTTTATCGGATGTGTAGAAAGCAAATATTTTCTC